TTTCTAAATTAAAAATCTTATCGCTAACCAATTAAGTACAAATTTATTTCTTATAGCAGCCCCAATAATTGTGCCTTCTTATTAAAAATATTAAATTGTTATTTAAACTTTCTCTCAATTAAAAGTTAATAAAGCTTTTATTTTAAAGAAAATTTTATTTATCTCTATATATATTTTTTTAGCATTTTAAATTTGAGAAGATAAGCCTTTGTAAGTCTACAATAAAATATAAAAAAATATTGTTATCTTATTTCATTTCATTTCTTAGGTTTTATTTGGGTTTATTTTCCGTCAATTTTATTTAATTGACAACAATCACAATTTTATTGTCTTTTTTTTATGTTAGTTTTTAACAATTTTTCATTGGGGTGTGAAAAATGGGTTGCGGGTTGAGTTTGGGTCGAATTCGATAGTTACCCGCTATTGATCTACACGACCCGAACTCATCCTATTTTTCCAAACGGGTTAATTAGATTTTGCAATCCGGACCCGACATGCCAAAAAATGGGGTCAACCCGACCCGACACGAATGACCCGGTGCTGGGCAAAAAATGCTGGGTAAAACGTGGATTCACAGCGGGTGGGACGCGGCGCGGTGCGACCGCCAACCAAATCGGACATGGCGTGGTGCGATCGGACATAGTTAGGGCTTGTCGGCTTGGAATTGTGGTGGATGGTTCATGGGCGGTGTGATTGGATGCCGTGTTGTGCGCAACACTGCTCACTCACACGCCGACACTCATTCACGCGACGACGCTGGGTTGGACGTCGACGATATGTCAGGCACAGCCAATCGGCACTCACTCATGCGCCGACGCCGACAAGACGATGTCATGAGCTATGTTTCCAAGTCACCCGAGTTAGTTTTAGGATTCTCTTATTTTACTTGTTTTATAGATTATGACTATATGTGATAAATTTTTCTATTAGGCACGCAAGCCAACATATCACACACACACACACACACACACACACATTTCAGCTTTAGTGTTGCATAATGATTTGCCATGTATAAATACATATAAAAGTTCATAGAATACAAAAAAAAAAATTTACATGTCAAACATCGAAATAGGATAGTTTTCTTGTTGCTTTTTAAAGTGGCTTTCTTGTACAAAAATTTCTTGAACTAAAAAATTTTGAAAAAATTTTTGTTTTAAAAAATTATTTTAGAATGTAGAAATAAAACTGTCTTAAACGAAACCTTAGACAATTGGATCAAGAGCCTATGGTCGAGCGGTAGTAATGATTAATAGCTTTTAGGAGATATCGGTGAGGTGATTAAAGTCTAATGACATTGTTTAGGAGAAGGCGGTCGTGCAATGACAATTGTTGGTGGTGATCGTTAATATTGATTGTTGTGCAAGGCTTTGTAGTTCTTTAGATATTTGAAGTGGTAATTATTAGGTTGACAGCTGATGATGTACTTGTTGAAGATTGAGGTGATTAAAGTCTAATGACATTGTTTGGGAGAAGGCGGTCGTGCAATGACAATTGCTGGTGTTGATCGTTGATATTGATTTGTTGTGCAAGGCTTTGTAGTTCTTTAGATATTTGAAGATGAAATGGTAATTATTAGGTTGATAGCTGATGATGTACTTGTTGATAAAGATGATGATTGATTCCAATTATCAAAAAATTATTGTTGGCTTATGAAATCCACGAAAAAAAAAAGACTAATTGAATGACATTGATAAGAGAAGACAATGATAAGTGAGTGTTGGAGTGGATTTGATATTCAGCCAACAATGACTCAATTAGTAAGAGCCCAACCAACATTATAAAATGCGAACAAAAAATACATTAATATTGCTTTATGTTACAACATTATAAATGAGAACAATAAATACAAATTATAGATCATTTAATAACTTTATCTCTTTTAAACTTGTTGCGGGCTAGAATATACGCGGCGATAGAGTTATTAAATTTCCGTCTCAGCATTGTACGGATATCCAGCACACAAACATGAGAGAAAAAGAAACACCATGATTTTTATGTGGAAAACCCTAGAAAGGGAAAAAACCACGGGGTCACGCCCAAGTTGAAATGATTCCACTAGTGTTTGTTTAAAAATACAAGAGGCTGATTTGTCCTTAAAATTTAGGACAATCAAATTATAATGTTTCACTACCAGATTGAAATCCAATCACAACGTTGGGCAGAGTTTTGTAATATGATCATAACGTTGCGCAGAGTTCCGACTTCACTTGGAGATCAAGCAGAAACCTGGCGTCCTTCGGAGGTCTGGTAGAATTTAGGTGTCATTTGGAAGTTGGGCAAAATTCCGACGTCGGACAGAACTCTGGCGTCACTTGGGAAGAATTCCAGCTTCATCCGGGCATCCAACAGAATTTTGGCGTTACTTGGGCGTCGGGAAGAACTCTGGCGCGCGGTGGTCGAGGAGGAGTTATTGTCTCGTATCCTTCTCTTCTCTTATTATCTTCTTCTTCTCTTCTTCTTGCTTCTAACTTGGGTCCCCTCTCATGAGAAATGAGGGGTCTATTTATAGATATTTTGGAGTGGCATAGCTTGTAAATAGGTGTGCGATCAGGAGCAAATATGGAGTGGTCAAATGGATGGCTGATATTGAATCTCTTGATTGTGTACCATTCATCAGCAATTTGAAGGTCTTAATGATGTCGGAATTCAGCGATCTTGGGCTCGTTGGATTTGTCTTGTCAAGTCGCTCGATTCGACTATAAGAACGTCATATTTGAAAACCGTTTGGTAACTCAAATTATGGTTTGAACCTTCCAACAATGCTTCGAGTGCTTGATTTGGACTCATTTGGGCTTGGATTGAGTCAAATTTGGTGTCGTTGAGTTCGTATTTCCGAGACGCTCAGTTTGACTATAAGTTTGCTGAAATAGGAGTTCAGGTGATCCCATATTTAATTTTTGAAATTCCGGCTCGATTTTGCCTTGAGATTCGTGCCCGATCAAGATAATTTTTTTAGGATATATCAAAACTATTATTTAACAAATCAAAATTATTATATAAATTGAGAATAAATGTAATAATGTGTATATTATTCAAATAATTGACGAAGAATTTTTGGAACTCTCATATGCCATGATCCAAACTTATTAAAAACTTGCAAAGATAATCATCAATAAAGACTGGATTTTGCATGCATACAGAGTTTGTTTGAGATGATTGCAATTTTTTTAAAAAATTATTATAAATTGAAAGCAACTTTCTAGCACAAAAAAAATTAAAATCAATAAAAAAAATAATAATCAAACATAAATTATAGTAGCTACCCCCAAAAGAAGCCTCAAATCTCCTTATCTTTCTTGCCATAAGCTGATAAGCAAAACTCCATTTCATTTTTATTATTCACAAAATGGCCAAAAAAAAAAAAGTTACAACCTTACAATAATTTATTTTAAAATAACTTTTTTATAGAGCCCAAAGGATGAAAGGATAGCCATCTAAGCGGGACCCATGGCATAGCAGCTCCAAGAAGCGGGCGAAGGAAGATGCTGGTGGTGGGACCATGGTGGCGTGGCAATAACTCCACCTTACCTCTTCTTTACATGGGGGCACCATGTCACTGTTCTTACCATGACAAGTTAGTGCATCTATCACCCACCACCGACCCCTTCTCTTATCCCTTTTCTTATCGCGGCTCTGATCACCGCTTTTGCTCATTTGCTAACGTCACCTCCGGTCATCTTAGCGCTGTTCGCCAGCCGCCCTAACATTCATTAAAAAAATAAATTAAAATTTTGAACGTTTTTTTTTTAATTTTTTCTAAAATAAATTTTTAGTAAAAAAAATTATCCAAAAAAATTTATACTTTAAACTAAAAATTTATTTTAAATAATAGAGGAAGCTGTCCCAACTAAAATCAAATTATGTTCAGCTATCATAGGGATATTGAGGATCTAAATTAGCTCATAAGAATACGCATAGTGGGGTGTCAATTTCGGGTCATATATCAAGTTTGGGTCGAATCCGAAACTGACACGGCACTATTCAGGTCAACCCAAATCCGACCAATTTTTTGCAAACGGTCGATTTTTTGGAATTGGATCTAACCCGCTTCAGGTCCGGGTCAACCCGACACGACCCGAATGACTCTGGACCGTGAAAAAAATTGCTAGTTTTGATGTAAAAAAGGGTCAATATCCTTTTTTCGGGTCAAAAGTGGGCCGAAAACAAGTCAATTTCAAATTTCGGGTAAAAAAAGGATTAATTTCAGGTCAGTCTGAACTCGACCTGATTTTTGAAACAAATCAAATTGTTGAACCCCAACTCGATCTGTTTCAGGTCCGAGTTGATCCTAACCCGAAATTTTTGGGTCAGATTTTTAGTGTCAAATATTGACACCCCAGTGCATAATGGCTTATGGCTTATGAGCTAATTCAATGGAGTACAAGAGATGAATTAAGAAGGTTTTTTCATATATTTATCTTTGAGCAAGATATCATAATTCTATTTAGATATAATTTTTTAATTATTAAAAAAAATAATAATTCGAGCTATACTTTTTATATCTATTAAGATAGGAAAGTTGTAGAAATAATTTAACTAGCATGATCGTAAAAAATAAATTTTTACTATAAAAATTTCTGATTAAAAAAGGTGGAAAAAATAGAAAAAATAATAATAAAGTAAAATAATAATTACTATCTAGAAATATAATAATAATAATTATAATTAATCTAGGCGATAATGCATGGCACAACTTCCAACCCAAATGGTGACATTACCCTCCCCTAATGGTGTCTAATTGTCTAATGTGGTCAGCGTTCAGAATCTGGTGAATCGGTGATCGAACCCGATCACCCTGATAAGCACACTACAGGCGAGATTAGCTTGTATTTTGTTAACTAAACTCTAATTTAACTGAACGTACCCCCAATTTGCTCAGCCTACGGAGTGGCTTTAGGAAGAAGAATACTATTCGAACAGGCGTGGCAATATCAAAAGCGATCTTGCCAACCTTTCCGTATTGGGCTAGACTCTAGAGAGATAGAGAGGGAGCGAAACTGCGAAAGGGGGGCGAGGAGAGAGGCCACGGGTTTTAGCACTTCCGCGCGATTATAAATTCACGTGAAAGGCCCTCGGTCACGGCTGAATCGGTGCGCTTCCCTTTCTTGGCGGCGGCGGCGGAGAGGGAGGCAGAAGAGGAGGGGGGAAAAGGGAAAGAAGGTAACGAGGTCTGCTGTATGTCAGATCGTAGTGACGAGGGATATTACGGCGGATTCGGAGAGCTCGCAAACCCATTGCAATGGCCGCAGCTGAGGAAAAGACGACGCCCAGATTCTCTAGCGCCGAAGCCGTTAGCGGGGGCGCCGGTGGGGGAAAGGGTGGCGGCGTTGGAGCGGCGGCTGGATGGGCTGCAGAGGATGCCGCTGGAGGCCACGGCGGTGCAAAGACTATGAACGCCGGTGTTCTTATCCGGCCTGTCGATGATTTACCGGATCCACCGGCAAAGCCTTCTACCAAGGGTAAGCGAAACGACTCCTCACAGGCGATCGGACCTTGTTTTGTTTCATGCAATGTTTTTATTCGTATGTTGAGGGTGGAAACGGTCTGCCTTATGTTCCTGTTATCCTGTTATCGGGTCTCTATTTTTTTGGGTTTCTGTGGCATATGTTGTTGCGGCGCGGCAATGGGTAGCTGAGGTGGATATCGCTTTGTTGAGTAGAAGTGAAGGAAAGAAGAGCAAATGGACGACGGCAAGTCGAGAGACATGGAGTGAGTTATTTGAGCGCAGAAGCCGTTATTTGCCACAAGACTGGAGTAACTTGTGTAGTGTAGATTGGTTTTAAGAAGCTTAGGGAGAATCTGGATGAATTGGCGGATGATTGAATTCAATTTCTATGCGAAAACTTGGGTATTAGAGCAAGAAAATATCCAAGACTAAGGATGCAGAGAAACTTTTTGGTCATTATTGTTGGTTATGAGTAGGGCTTATGTAGGAGGTGCCTCAGGTTTGGAGTTTCTTCCCTCGCTGTCTCTGTTTCTCTTTTATAATTTCACTAAGGAAAATAGTTGGATTGGTATGTTGAAGGGGGAGGTTTTCAGAATTTATATAGTTACCATTTCATTTTTAGTGTTTTTTTTAATGGAGGGTGTAGGGGGAAAGAATGATCGAAGAGATGGCAGGAGGAATGTTTGGGAATATCATATCGTAGCCCGTGGAATGCTAGCTCAACTGATGGTGAACATCAAAACAAGCTTTCATGCTGCTTGCCATTGAGTATAGCGAAATAATGTTGTTATAGTTTTCCTTGATTCAGCCACATGTTTAATTATATATGTCTCATAGATAAGTTATCAATTGTATGAGCATATCCTATCTCGTGTTGGGTTTATATTACCTTTGTTTGATCGGCTAATTTTTTTATTTCCAACTTTTTTGCCCAGATATGTGTCTAATGTATAAGTTATAATTGTGGCGATCATAAGTGTTTACCGCGCTTGTTAGATTTCTTCTTTTCTAGTTGTAGGTTAGTGATCATTTGAGGTTACTCCCCTAGGCCATACTTTGTCTCCACCAAATATCACATTCATGTAACTAACACCAATTGTAGCTGATGAAACTTATTAAAATTCAAACTTTCATTAGATGTTAGAGAGACTTCTAGATTTTTCCTTAATGTCTTTGCAACTTCGTTTACTTGGTTTCAATGTTCAATATAGCATAGGAGATGGAATGATCATTGTCATATAGGTCATAATGTCATATAAAAATGTTTTCTATGTAGCTTTTTCTGAACACTTGATATGTATAGTCTACCAGAACATGATTATCCTTTGCCATAAATAACTTACTGCCCTAGAGGTTTGGTTGGTTCACTGTAGTTTAATTTTGGAATGTTGACATGTAGTTCAAGGTTTGCAGTGGTCATAAGCACAAATTAATTTCTTGTTGATTTTTTGTTTGATTGGCGTAGATGATGAATGCCTTAGGCTACCGTGCATTACCCTAGGTGCTCATTTAGTGAAGGAGACACTAAAAAAGAAGTAACTACTCTACTTAAGAAAACATTTTTACTCCCTCACCAACTTTGACACCTGTTCTTGAGAAATAACTCTCGTTATTCTGTTCGAATAATAGATGCATTTATCACTGCTATTACTCTTTTGATATTGAAATTCATTTGATTTAACATGGGGTTTCTTTGGTTGATCAAAATTGGGAGGAATCAACACTTTCAAGTTGTAGAAATGAAAGTTGGGGAACCACTTTAAATAAATCTATGGTTTAAAGTGGTACTTTGTTCTTCCCATTTTTTGTTGTGGAGGAAGTGGAATAACTTTGATAAAATTGTCTAAATGTGCTTGCCTAAATTTGTATAATATATTATGCACATTCTTCCGGTCCACTGTGACTAGCAAGTTAACCACTCTTTTCTCGAGATTACCTTATACTATTCTCTTGCAATATCAGATGCATGCATTAGTAAGATTTCTAATTTGCTCTAGAATTTTTATATGATTTTACATGGGTCATATTTGTTTATTTGTGAGTGGAAGGAAGTGGCACTTCCTATTTAGAAATAGAAATTGGGGGAGCTATTTCTAAGAAAGAAGTTTGTGTGCGTGCTTGGTTGTGTGTTAAGTGATGCTTCCTATTACTATTGTTTGGCTCTTTATAAGTGGAGTAATGCACGTGTCCTATTACTCATTGTTTGGCTCTTTAGAAGTGGAATAATGTGTTTGTTGTTGTTTGTTAAGTTTACTCCATGTGTCCTATTACTCATTGTTTGGCTCTTTAGAAATGGAATAATGTGTTTGTTGTTGTTTGTTAAGTGACGCATCCTATAACTCACTATTTGTTTCTTTAGAAGTGGAGCAGTGTGTATTATGTTACTCATTATTTGGTTCTTTAAAAGTGGTGTAATGTGTGCGTCTATGTATAAATTATAAAGATGGCTCGTGTGTTTATATTCATACAAATGTGTTGACAAAAAATGACATATATATATGTGTGTGTGTGTGTATGTGTACGCACTCATACACACATATTATATGAATGACTTAGTTCAAATATGTATCAGCTTGGTTGATCATGCTTACATGTATTGCCTATCTTCTAGTTGATCTAAGGGTCAGACTAAGTCATCTCTATCGAGTTTTCTTGTCCACGATGCAACGTTGTAGAAATCATATTAAACTGATATATCACATTCAAGTAAACAACATATGCATCTGACTGCTCTTAAACCCAGGGTGATAAGTCTCAACCTACTTTACATTTTCAACAACCAATTATCAATTTGAATCCTCCTATTAAAATTCAAACTATTCAAAGCAAGTGGAATTGGGCCTTTTTGTGGATATAAGCCTCATATTTTACCAATCCATCATGCTGACTCAAAGCATCAAGTCAATTAAGCAAAATTAAATCTTTGGGCCACCTTGCCTATAGGACAAGGTTTTAAACCACCTTTTGGGGCCTCTATAATATTTGAGTTACAAGCTCCATATATAATCACACCAAAAACTAAGGTTATACGCCCCGGCCTTCTGGCTAACTCATAGGTAGAATAAAAAGTCTCATCCTAATTAAACTTGATTCTTCTAATATTTGTAAAATCTAAAATGAACCCATACTTAGGCTGGCCCCTTTTTTATAAAACCACCAATGAAAACTAAAAGCCATATTTGTTCATCCTAGTCTTCTCAGGATAACTAAAAGGTGACAACCTGTGATTTCTAACCATATTTCATGGAAATTACATCTTACAATCCTCGAACTTTACTGTGTTGGTATGCTAGTACTAACGGAATGACGAAACCAAGGAATCTTGATCGAGTCTATCCATTTTTCCAAACTTACCCCATTAATTTAATTGAAACCCGAAAGTTGAGCCTGAGACTAAAAATCGAGTCTATGTAAAAATCAAGAGTGTTCTCCTATAAGATCCTGGGATAATGAATTATGGGGATTTGCTCCTATTGGAAGTTTTGATCTCAAATCTATATGAATTATGGTTAGAATATTAGGAAAAAATTGGTGAAACTAACCTTAATATGCATCTCTGAAAATTAATGCCTAAGTTTAAGAGGGGCTGGTGCTTTTGTTGTATGATCAATGGATTACCTTGCACGAATCACAATAATTATTCATCTACTTGATAAATATGAAATGCCCAATTTGTCTATGCCATTTTCCAAGACTAGCAAATTTGAGGGATATCTTTAAGTATGCACTCTTTGGAAGCGCATAAAATGAATATTGAGGTGAGCATTATGATTTTATGTGTTTTAATTTTTGTTTTGTTTGGATAACATGCCTGTGATGATTATCCTATGGAGAACAGTATTCTCATATGTTTTGATCAGTCATTAGATTTGGTTTACTATTGTAAGTCATTTTGATGCAACTCCTGGACTCGCTAGGTTAGCTGTATCCAATTCTTTATTTCAACATGCTTCTAGTATTTTTTTTTTGTCCAAACACTAATTCTAGAAATTTTCTGTTATTCTTGACCGTTGATTTGGTTTCAGGTTTTTTTGCTAGTTTCAGTCATTTGTTAGTCCTGTTGATTGTGTTAAACTTCGTGCACTATATCAAGAACCGCAATAAGAGTTTCACATGGTCTGACATTGCCTTCATTAGTTGCTAACTTCTTCAGCTATTTTCTTCTGTGGTCGTTCTCTACATTTGTGTTTCTTTCTACTTCTTCCTTACCGGACATTGTAGCTTTTATAGGTTATTGGGTTGCTTGCTTTCTTGGCATTTTACTGTAACCGAAAATCTAGAATTGTATGAAGGGAATTTTGAAGTTGGTAACTTATTATATTACTAAACCTATGGTTAAAAACTAGTTCTTGTTGGAATTCACGTGTGTTGAATTGAAACTTATAGTATTAGGACAGATATTAGGAAATTATGAGAATCTACTTATTTTGGGTATTTTTGGGTTAAAATTAAAGTTGAATGGCGGGATAAAATTTTTTTTCCTTTCAAATTTTGATTGTTGATGGATGTTAATTCTTCAAGCACTTTATTTTGGTTATTTTTTGGGTTACAAGACCTTTCAGGTATTTGAAATTAAAGTTGAATGGCTGGATAAAATTTTTGTTCCTCTCAAATTTTTGATTGTTTATGACTTAAATTCTTCGAGCACTTGCAAGTTTGGATGATAACTTTTTGGCGTTTTTTCTTTTTTGCCACGGGAGACCTAGATCTTCTAATTTGGTATTTATATAGTTCTTCTGTTTTTTTTTTTTTAACTACTTAATGATTGATTTGTATGCATTAATAAAATATTGTCAAATTTGATGAGTGTCAGCTTCCATTTTTATATTGTGCATATTAATCAATGTAGAATTTTATTTGTTTTCAAAATTTTTAGGGAATTTCTGATGTTTGCTACTTCCAAATTATCATTATGAGTAAATGAACCATGTCTTTTTAATATTGCATCAAAAGTGACTAATTTTTGCTTAAGTTAATTGAGAACTACGAATTTTTATTTTTGTGTATTTTTTTTTTACTAATTTTATCCTAGATTTGCATAAGTGAACCCTAAATCATATAACATTCTATCGTATATTTTGCCTATAATAGGTCCTGTAGGAAAGTTCTCAAGGAAGTTAAATGTCAGGGTAAGTATAAGTAGGAACACTCGTTTAAATTTCAGGGTAAGTATAAGTAGGAAAACTCGTTTAAGTTACGTAGTTTTGTTTCCTTGTGAAGTTTGACTGATATAAATAAGGTGTTATTTTAAGAATAAAAATTATGATATTGTACATCTTTATTTAATTACTTCATTTCTCTTTATTTGGTATTATGCAGGCATCCAGGTGATGCCGAGGGCTCAGACAAGCCACCCTTTAGATCCGTTATCTGCTGCGGAAATTTCAGTGGCTGTAGCAACAGTTAGAGCTGCCGGGAAGACCCCTGAGGTTGGATATCCTGCTTGTTGAGATGCTTTATGTACATTTGCTATTATTCTTTATTATTTTGTCTTGATATGAATCATTTGGTAGATCATCATGTTTCATTTATGGGATATTCTGGCCGTTAAAAGCATTTTTAATTGATACATTTCTAGGTGCGAGATAGCATGCGATTTGTTGAAGTAGTTCTTTTGGAACCAGAGAAAAGTGTTGTGGCCCTTGCCGATGCCTACTATTTCCCTCCATTCCAACCATCACTGCTCCCAAGGACAAAAGGTGGTCCTGTCATACCCAGTAAGCTTCCGCCTAGGAGGGCTAGGCTTGTGGTCTACAACAAGAAGTCAAATGAGACGAGTATATGGATTGTTGAGCTGACAGAAGTACATGCAGCAACTAGAGGTGGTCATCACAGGGGAAAGGTCATCACGTCAGATGTAGTTCCAGATGTCCAACCTCCTATGGTATGATTTTTAAAAGAGAGTATGACATAGGATTGAAGAAATATGTTTTGCTAATTTTTTTAATTCCTATCTTTGAATTTGTGTTTAAAATGCTATGCATTACCGGCAAATATCTCCAAACTTTTTTGGATTGAATTTACTATTCTTTACACTCTAGTTGCACCTGAACTTTTTTATATCTTGACTATATTCAGAATTTCATGCAGTTAAAGAAATGTATATCAGAATAAAATTAAATTATTAGGGTTGTTTCTAAGTGCGGTTCTTCCTAAAGATATTTCTCTTGTAGTTCTCTTGTAGTTGAAGATTTTTAAGGTAAGAGTCACTTAAAAAACTTGGTACTTCCCTGTAATTTTTACTGTAGAAAAGGGTGAATATGAATTTAGATGTCTCAGCTATTGCTAAAGATATTCGGAGTATTCAAAACAAGAAGAGATCCAAAAGTATAATAATAACCTGTTTTATCTGCCTCATATGGCTCGACTTATGCAAATATTTGTTGCAAAATTTTATTTTTAAATCAACTAAAGCCATTTGACATTAAGCGTGAGTGTAAACAATGATTTTCAGTATATTTTGATACGTTGGGCACTAGGCATCAATATATTTTTAATTTTACAAACATCCTGTCATAATAAATAATGATGGACAACTAAAGCTATGTCTTACAAAGCTATAAAGCTAATCCTTAATACTTTCCTATCACACAACAGGCCTGATTTATTCCTATCACACAACAAGCCTGATGCATTCCTTCACTTCAACCATCCAATTTGAATTTTACTAATAATATTCTCATTTATTTCACTGCCACTTTGAACAATAGACTCAAGATATCTAAAACAAATACTCTTATTAATGACTTAATCGTCCAAAGTTGCAATCCCTCACTAGATATGTTACTATTAAAATTACACTCGTATATTCGGTTTTAGCTCTCCTTAAACGAAACCATTTAGACTCTAAGGTTGATCTCCATAATTCAAGTTTACCTTCAACTCTCTTTCTAGTCTATCAACAAGAAAGATATCATTAGCAAAAAGCATGCACCAGGGTACAATCTCTTGCAAATGTTTAGTAAGAACAATGACTAAAGCGAAAAGATATGGGTTTAAAGCTAAGAAATTCTTTCATCTTCTGAGCATTTCCATGCCTCTATTGTAATATCATTAGCTTCAACGGCTTTTCCATACCATATTTTTTTAAAGCCTTTCGAACTTTAATTTTATTAATACGCTGATAAAAACAAAAATTTCTATTTTTATTTAGGGTGTTTATTCTCACACTCTTCATTGAAAAGCTTATCAAAATATCTCATTCACCTTTGTTGAATATCTTTTTTGATAAAAAAAACTTTTTGATCTTCATCCCTAATGCATTTTACTTGAACTAAATCCTTGCTTCTCTTATTTAGTTGCATGACTAACTTATACATATATCTTTCGTCTTCCTTAGTATATAATCTATTACAGAAATCATTAAAAAATAATATTTTTTGCATTGCACATTGCTTTCTTAGCCTTTTTTTATATCTTTTTTAATTTTTCAAGCTTTTACACATAAAATAATTTTTATAATAAAGCTTTTTATTTTTTAACTTTTCTTGCATATTTTGATTCCACCAAAATTTTTTTACTATTAAAGAGCTTTTATTTTTAATACTTCGAGCATATCCTTTACAACATTCCTAATATCATTAACTACTTTTTCTCAAATAACATTAATTTCCTCCTATATAGTCAAAATCTTAAGATTTTGAATCTTACTCAATATTTTTGTTAATGTTCTTTAAATGCCCTCTTCTACTCCTAAGACAATATTTTACTTTATTTTTCATATTTTATCCTTCATCTTAAAGTTCAAAACTAAAAAGTGATACTGAGTATATAAACTTTCATTCAGAATAATTTTATAATCTTAGTAATTTAAATGATATATTTTTCATATAAGAAAATAATTAATTTGAGTTTTACTGTATCTATTCTTATAATTGATGAGATGCTCCTCCGTTTACTTAAATAAAATATTAGCAATTACAAAATTAGAAGTTAGAGCAAAATCTAATATGGTCCAATCACCTTTATTAGTAGCTCCAAATCGACAGTCCCCATAAATATTTTTAAAATCTTTTACCTCTCTACCAACATGTCCATTTAAATCTCCTACTATAAAAACTTTTTTTTAAGAGATATCTTTTGTATTAATTCTTCTATGTCATTCCAAAATTTTAATATTGAACACATATATAAACTTACTTGAGAATCATAAGTATTTATAATATTAATGATCTTAACATCAATAACAATCTTTAAAACTATAATTTTATTTTCAATTTTATTAATTTCTACAACATTATCCTTCAAACTATTACCTATAATCACACTCACATTATTTATAGTACAAATCCTACCTGAATACTATAATTTAAATTGCAAACTATCAATCTCATTAGTATTCTCTCAACCCATTTAGTTTCCTGAATACATAGAATATTTATCTTCATATAAATCATGATATATATTAATTTCATTAATTTGCCGGTAAAAGAATCTATATTCTAAGTTTCTATCTTAATTATAATTTCATGAATTAGCTTCTTTGTCCGCATTCGCCCATGATGTGAGAACTTTGCTTATTTAACATTGCACCCGGGTGTTGGTGCAGCATTATCATGGGTGCGTAAAATGGTCTTATATCTTTAATTTTTTTTTTAATAATGAAACATACCAAAAGAATATATGTATTTTCAAGTACTATATACTTTTTTAGAAATTGCAATTTCAATAATAAACAATTGTTGAAGTTGAAAAATGAACACTGAAACAGTTCAAATCACTGAAGTCATTGAATCTGAAACTTTGGCCACCATACCGAAAACCCAAATGAAAACTTCGGTTAAAATTACTTTGTTTGGTCTGTCAATTATATATGGTCCTGATTTATGTAATATGCTTGTCTTGATGTTGCCTCACAAATACAGGATGCTATGGAATATGCAGAATGTGAAGCTACAGTAAAAGATTTCCCGCCATTCAGGGAAGCCATGAGGAAGCGAGGCATTGAGGACATGGATCTGGTTATGGTTGATGCATGGTAAAACTGTTTTTTATTGTTCCACTGCCTTTTCTAGATTTATTGTTGCTTTGTAGTTAAGTTATTTCTTGTTCTTTTATGTTTTTTTAATGTTTTTTTTTTTTTATTTTGTTATCAACTTATTTCTGCAGGTGCGTTGGTTACTATGGCGAGGCAGATGCCCCTAGCCGCAGATTGGCTAAACCATTGATCTTTTGTAGAACTGAGAGTGACTGTCCCATGGAGAATGGTTATGCTCGTCCTGTTGAAGGCATCCATGTTGTTGTTGATATTCAGAATGTGGTGGTTATTGAATTTGAGGATAGAAAGCTGGTACCTCTACCTCCTGCTGATCCGTTGAGAAACTACACTTCAGGGGAAACACGAGGAGGTGTCGACCGAAGTGATGTGAAGCCTCTGCACATTCTTCAGCCTGAAGGTCCAAGTTTTCGTGTCAATGGTCACTTTGTTGAGTGGCAGAAGGTACTTTTAATTTGTAGTGTATGCATTTTCTTCTATTCCCAATGTATGTTAATCATAACATTCTTATACTGAGCGCAAGTGTTATTTTTCCTGGATCAGTGGAACTTCCGAATTGGTTTCACTCCTAGAGAGGGTTTGGTAATCTATTCTGTTGCATATATTGATGGTAGTCGTGGACGTAGGTCAATAGCTCATAGGTTGAGTTTTGTTGAAATGGTTGTTCCGTACGGAGATCCTAATGAACCTCATTACCGGAAGAATGCATTTGATGCTGGTGAGGACGGGCTAGGAAAAAATGCGCATTCTCTAAAGAAGGTTAATTACTCATCTTCTGCTGGGATTTTCTTATAATTTTTGGTCCCTATGCTAAAATTTTGTATGTGCTTCATTCATATTTTACGAATCTCAGGGGTGCGACTGTTTGGGCTTCATCAAATACTTTGATGCTCATTTTACAAATTACACTGGTAGCGTAGAAACTATTGAACAATGTGTATGCTTGCATGAAGAGGACCATGGGATTTTGTGGAAGCATCAGGATTGGAGAACTGGCCTTGCAGAAGTTAGACGTTCAAGAAGGCTTTCTGTGTCATTTATATGTACAGTGGCTAACTATGAATATGGTTTCTTCTGGTATTTTTATCAGGTATCTCACATTCAGATGAAGATCATGCTTCACTATTTCCCTTTTCTTTCTGCTGAAAAGAAGGCAGTTTTATTGGTTATTCTTATATCTGCACGTAACAGACATTGATTTTAAGTATTTTTTTACAAGCTGCTAACTTGATGATATAACTTGGGTAACTTCATTTTTATGCTATATTTTGAAGGCTTAAGATGCATGTTTGATTTTTTTTTTACTTTCATATTCGTTGATAAACATGCTTAATTTCTCATTTCTTATGAGATGCAGGTCTCCTTCTAAATTTGATAAAAAAGTGATTTATTAGTTTGTGCTTTAACTTCATCAAGATTTTTTCAAGCTGACAGCAAATTCTTGTAGTTGGCCGTAGTCATTCTAATGCATTAATCATTTTAACTCCATTTGCAAACCTTCATATAGTCTGAAGGTTTTGCTTTGAGTAGATTTAAAATTGAATACATAGAGTATAATTTTAGCAGTAATATATCTAGTGGCGGGATTGTGATATTGGGTGATCAAGTCATTAAAAAGAAATGCACGTTTTAGATATCTCGGGTATATTGTTCAAATATATGATGAAATAGATGTAGATATTATTAGTAGAATTCAAGTTGGTTGATTGAAGTGGAAAAATGCATTAGGCGTGTTGTGTGATAGAAAAATACCCCTCAAACTTAAGAGACAATTTTATAAGATGGTAGTGAGATCTGCAATGCTTTATAATGCAGAATGTTGGCCATTAAAATCGAAGCATAAAATTAAGTCAAGTATTGCAGAGATGAGGAATTTCAACTGGATGAGTGGCTTTACACTTAGAGACAGAATGCAAAACAATTATATATGTAAAAAGGTTGGACTAGCTCTAGTGGCAGATTAGATTAGAGAGTGTCGTCTTAGATGGTTAGATCATGTAAAATGTCTGCCTTCCGATGATCCTGTTAGAAAATGTATTAGATTCGGCCTATGTTAACAAAGGTAGTGGTAGACCTAAAACAAAGTATCAAGAATGATATTTTTTATTAGATTTAAATGAGAATCTCGCTCTTAAAAAGATACAATGGAGGAAAAGGGATTTATAAAGCCAACCCTAAATAGTGAGGATAAAGGCTTGTTTTTGTTATTGTTGTTGCAAACTTATAGATAGAAATAATTTTCAATCGTATAGGTATTGCTTTTGATTTTTATTTTCTATTCATGTTTTGAGCCCGTTTTATGACATGTAGACCAAAATGTAATTCATCTATAAAGAACTACTTAGATTTTGTTTAGCTTATAACTTTCTTATGAGCATGCATGCTTAGGTTTTGTAAAATTCAGTTATTCATGTTAAATTTCCTTAGATTTTATTCATTGAATTTGATTTGGATATATATCAATTATTGTGATTTTTTTTAGTTTGAGCCACATTTTTTGTCCTTGATGTTTAAATTTACAATTAGACCGGTTATGCTATATTAATCCAAATGTTAGGCAATAAAAAAGTCATTGATATCTAAAGGTAGGTGTAAAAAATGAGAATGCTTAGATGAATATATGCTAAAATTAAAAAAAGATAAATTGATGAATCAATATAGTAGAGAAATAATTAGAGTTTCATCTATTGAAAATGAGATAATTAAAAATAAACTTGGATGATTTGATCATATATATAATGAATAATGTAGGTAGTCTTAGGATCTAAGGATTTCTAATACAATTCTAATATGAGGTATAAAAAAAATCAGGCAACAAGCAAACAAAAGTCATACATTATTGGAATATTTAAATATTATATGCTGCCTTCAATTAAAATAGAAGAAAAACCTAATAAAAATTGATTCAGACTAAAATATAGTGGCATTCTTGTAGAAAGAACAACTTGAAATCCATGATCATGAAAGACACATAAATGCTCTGAAATTTACACACTTGTTGATAATTATATTGTACAAATTTGATTAAAATCAAACCCTTTCAAACCATCAACAAAATATTGAATAAGAGTAAAAGATTGGAAATAATTTATTGAAAGTTTCCCTCTCTTTTACACAATGATAACCGCTCTTGGAATTTATCAAATTTATCACTTGGTCAAAGAATTTAATCCCTGGTGTAGAAGAAATATGACTACTAACCAAGGTTTTATTTAAGTACTAGCTGTGGTTTTTTACATACCTAATACCTCCATTGATAATCATAAAACCAGTATGGTCCCTTTTTCGTCTTCATCAAACACTATAGCCACCCATCCTTATCATCCATTGAGCTTTTCTCGTGCGCACTGCAAATTTCCTACCCTAACTTAATGCACTTGTGCCCAATTAACCTGCTTCTATGTCATCATGCTTCTATGTCATCATGCTTTTGTACCATCGATGCAGGCTCACATTGGTTCTGCACCTTGATTGTTCTTCTTATATGCTTTGTGCTCTCTCACATGTCTCCTCTCGCTCTCTCACGAGAGCCTGCACGCATTCATAGCCCTTAATAGCTTCTAGTTAGCTGTATAGGGCTCCAACTATTTCACTCTCACTAACTATTGCCCTCAATCTAAGGGGGAAAGTAATATGGGTGTCAATAAATGAACCGATTCGTCAACCCGACCCAAGCTAGATCCAAAAAATTCAAGTTCAGGTCAATGTTTAAAATTGTGCAATTAGGTATTGAGGTGTTATCCGTCCGTGAGGCGAGGCGTAAGCCTCAAGGCGTTTTGAAGAGTAAGCCTCAACATTCAAAAATTGTGTAAAGTCAAAATGAAAAACTTTTATAGAATAATCAAACAATATATTAAAAAAAAACATAAGAAATAAATTTTCATATATATGAAACATAAAAAATACATAAGACAAAGTATCAAGCAATAAATTTCATAAAATATAATTGAAATTTAATCATCACAATAATAAAGTAACATAAGATATAGTTCAACTCAAAATTCTATCTTTCCCAATATCTTGCTCATCGACATTTAATTCAAAAAAAAAAAAAATTACAATGACATTACAACTCAGAAGTCATCGGCGCCGTCATCATTGAGTGGATCTTCATTTGAATCATTGTCATAATGAATTGCTCTCTCCCCGAACTCATCACCTGTGGAGTTCAATGCCTCTTAGTCTACTTCTTCCTCTATATTAGTTATTTTCCTCTTTCCTAAATATTTTTTATCAATATTAAAATGAGTAATACTTCAAAGTAAATAAAGCTTTTAAAAAATAAAATTTATATATCTTTTCTGTTTTTTTGTTTCTTTTTGTGATTGGTTTGTGGTTGATGTAGATGTTTTATTTCTATCACCATCAAAGAAATCAATATTCAAATATTCCTCTCGTAATTCAGATGGTGTTACCTCAACTTTATCATATACAAATCACTCATTATCTGATGTCATATCCTCTTAAATCAAAGGATATTCGTCATCTTTCAATCCATTTTTCTTCAAGTTAATATCTTTAAGTTTCTTATTGTATATGATATTACACTAAGGAATTCATCCTTAAAGTTGTCATACGATTTCTCCTCTTTGTGTGCACTTGGTTGTATGTGCTCCAATTGCGTTTACATCCAGAGAAAGAGCAAGTTAATCCCAAAACCTTCACAGTGAAATGATTAAATTCTTGAGTGTCATCACCAAATTGAATCCCCCACTCAACTGAGATTTACAGAGATGAGTACAATAAGTACTAAGTAGAATGAATTTTAAATAAATAAGTTTTTTATACATTGAAGCAACAAATCAAAATTCATGGAGATCAATTGGAAATAATAGTGTCATTTGCCTTTTGCAATTAAAAAAAAAAACTCTCTTTATTCTTAAATGGTACTAATTGGATGTTAGCATTAGATTGTTTCAATTGAATCAGCTATGGGTCTATCGATACAATGATCTAATCCTAATTTTATCTTAGGATTTGTTAGCCTGTTTTCTACATATTGATATTTTAGTCTCTTATAAGGTTGGACTCAACATGACCAAATGTGACCGAGTTGTTGACATTTTCTTACTCAACAAGTCATAAGAAAGACTGCAGTAAGAAAACCCCTGTTTTATCAGTCTGATGACAAGAGTTTTTAAGGCTCAAGCTATCTGATTTGATGAATTCAAGTAGCCCAGACCATCCAAGAAGTTCTTTTCAATTGGTTAAAGGTTCAAAGTAACAGCAAAAGGATGGTCCAAAACTTAAGATGACACCAAGCCGAGTTTGGTATCTCTATCAAACCAGATTCTTAATTTCCTTCAATAGTAAGTCTATCATGCATAAAGCAAACACCGGAAGAGCTTCTCTTCTTCAATAAGTCTGATAAAACACAAAGCATATAACAAAAAAATTTATCCCGAAGTTCATACCAAGCCTGAGGTTGATGTCAAGGAATTTTGTCATCAATTTGTCTATTATACACTAAGTTCTGGACTGGTGATTATCCGCCGTCAACCTAAAATAAGCTCTGAAGGTTAGGTTATCAATCATTAGAAATCAATATCAAAGCTTATCCATGATAAATAATGAAATTAGAATCTACACTTAACATGAGGAACACGGATCATCAAGTTTTATAATCATGACATAATCATGGAGTAATCTTCATCTCAAAGTGTGTATTTTTGGTCATCAAGACTACTTAGGTGGTGAAGTTTTCCTTTACCTTTCAAGAAAGTCTTCACAATCTTGGGGCACATTAAATAATTTTTTCCATTCAATTGGTTTGAAGCTTGTAAGTTCTGGAATTCTTCTTTTGTATTGGTTTGGTTCGCATTATTCATGACACTTGGCGCTCTTAAAGAAAAATTATAACTCTTCGATATGGAGAAGGAAACATATCAGATAAAAGGAATTATGCTGAAGGTTTAATGAAGCATTCAAAGCTTTCATAAATTAATAAATTAAATTTGTAATGAAAGATTTCATCCCAATTTAATTCAAAATTTAAATAGGCTATGAATTAGTAAGTTTCCTAAAATAGGATTGATAAATTAGGACAACTATTCAAATTCAAATAGATTTGAATTTGATCATTAAGATAGTTACCTAAACAATGAAAATTAATTTAGGAAAGATTTGATGGCAACTGGAGATGGGAGGAAACCAAGGGGAGGGCCGGCGGCTTGTGACTTGGCCGTGAGTGGTGGTGGAGCTAAGGCCGGTTTGGTGGAAGTAGGGAGAGGATGAAGACGGCGACTAGAAACAACAAGAATGAACAAAAACAAAGAAACAAAAGATAAAAGATAAAATCACGAGCCTTAGACTCTTTCGAAGATTGACGGGTGATACGTTGCCCTTCTTCAAGGGACTTCAAGCCATGAGCCCGGAACCATCCTGCGGCTTGTGAAAACTCCTATTCCTTCCCATATGAATCTCACTAACGTCCTCCCAAAAGAACACAAGTGCAGAACACAAATTTTATTATAATTCCATCATACCTAACAAGAGAAGGGGTCTCTATATATAGGGCTCAAAAGAAACTAAAAGACATATTTGCCCCTTGGGCTTACATAAGACAAGACTCTTAAATAAAAGGGTAAAAAGGAAAAAATGCAAAATTAAATCAAAATATAATTTATAAACTATAATAAAACAGAGTGATCTCGGCCGTCAATCTTCGACTCTTCCTTTTAATATCGTCCACCATCGGATATACGCATCGACGTCCCATTCAATTTCTGTTATCTATATCTGCCCTCTTTGCTATGCTTTGCAGGATTTAACCTTCCTGTTTTGTTGTCCATTTTATATTGTTCCACCATCACTTTCCAGTTCTCCTTTGGAATCTGCATTTGAATCTACATCAAGAAGTGTTATCTTGGAATTTCAGACGTTTAAATGAAATAAGTAAAATCAAAAGCAGGCTTCCATTGAACCTACTGAAAGCTTTATGATTATAAAAAGTCATTCAAAGACATGTTAAGTAATAGAATTAGCTTTGAGTTATTTATGTAATGCATTTTGACGGATGTAGACTTAAATGCATTCAAGTATTAATTTCATTATTATTTTTAATTAGTAATTGAGAAGTGATAGGTTGCTTGATGCAATAGATTCACTTCTTTTACAGGATGGAAAGATTGAAGCTGAGGTAAAGCTAACTGGAATTCTAAGCTTGGGAGCACTGCTACCCGGTGAATCAAGAAAATATGGTACTACAATTGCTCCTGGCTTATATGCGCCAGTTCATCAACATTTCTTTGTTGCTCGTATGGACATGGCAATTGATTGCAAATCTAATGAAGCTTTTAATCAGGTGTGCGCTACTTCTATTGGTAATTTCTGTTTTGAGTTTTTCTTTATTATACGTTTTTAAGGCACAAGTGAATCATTTGAAGCTGATTTATCATTCTTATAAAATAATTTAGAAAGGATCGCCTTTCTGATCTTGAAAGGATGATTGATATTTCACTTTGCACTTGTTCTCAGGTATATTATCCATCCTTCAAAACATTATGGGCATTATAACATTTTCATATGCTTTAATCATGTTTTACCAGCCACAAAAAATTGGACTTCTAATCCTCAACGTGACTTCAACTGTTATTTCGATTTGTTCTATGTATAGTTTCATTTATTTTACACTTTATTTTAGCTATTCTTTGTTTCATCTTTCTTTTTTTTTGGTCATCCACAGCCTTGTGTATAATTGAGCACTCCTTGTACATATTTCTGTCTGCAACCTGATATTTTTATTTCTCTTTGTTCTCATTTTTTAAAGAGAAGCTACAACCATTTTTATGGATTATATCTTCTGGAAATTGGTAGGAGTTTTAGTTTTGTAGTGATCCTCTTAAGAGTATCTATGATGCGTGTCTCCGAGTGGAAGTCCAGCACAATTATTGAGAACATAAAGATTGGCAGATTTTCTTGCGAAATTCCCGAAGATCTTTTAAAAATGGTCTTAAGAATTTCTATAGACATGAATTTGCATCATCCTTATGACAATTCTATCATAAGGGAAGTTCTCTGACAACGATATATGTTTTAATTTTTTCTATGAAACTAGTTATTAATGGATTCTGGACTTCATGTATTCAGCTTCTTATTGGAGTCTGATATAAAAAGGCTAAGTTTGATTGGCCAAGGAAGAAGGAACAGAAAGCTCGATTGAAAGGTGGTATAGGTCCATGCCTCTTGATTCCTTAGTTAATGTACATTGCTAAAAAAAGTAGCAGTAGTTCAAACACTAATATCTTCTTTATCACTATGATCGATTGCATTTGTTTGTTAGTTCACATAAGAGTAGAAGCTGAGGATGATGCTGATTCATATCTTTAAAAATCCCGATTCAAAAGAAAATTGAGTTCGAATTATAAAAAATTGTGATTCTTACAGTTAGCAACTTTAATTCAGATCATATTTGATTTGAAGCCCTACTTTAAAGTTAAGCGGCTATCTAATTTAATTGGATGCCGTATAGTTAGCTTGATCAAACAAATAAAATGCAATGTGCTACTGGACACATGAAAGAATCGGTCACTTTGTAAAATTTGCATCAACTTTTCTGCCCAAGCTTCTCTAAAACAAAAGAATGTAGGAACTTTTATGATGGCCTAGGAAAGGAGAACACTAGAATCGGATACATTGCATTAAGGACATGAACTAATAATTTTGACTATTTATGATGAATTACTTGTGACAACTAGAAGTAACTATTTTTTAGAAAACTTATAATCACTTGTGAGTGTACCATCTTTTCCGCTGGGTACACCTGAATGACTGATTTTGCAAACTTATTTAGTCAACATTTCTTTTAGATTGCATATAGCATGAGTACCTCAAAAGTTTTCTTATGAAATGAAGAAAAGATTATGATGAAATGAGACAATAAACTAGATTTTTCTTGGAATAAAGTACAGCTTGTCATTTTTGGTTTCAGTTATTTGTTTGCTTTAACTACTATAATACAACGGTTGGTTCACACTTGTGTGCATATTTATTTGATTCTTAAAAGAAACATGTACAAAAGTCCATTAACTGGTATTCGATAAGTTTATTGTTAATAACATAGATTAATTGTTTAAGGATATACTTTCTTAGGTATGTACCTTCTCATTGTTTCCCTGTCTTGGAAGATAGCTATGGAACAGGCTTTTGATTGGGTTTCATTTTTCTCGACTTCTCAATATATTAATATTAGATGTTGCTATGAACGTTATTATGCTTATGTATTTTTTTTATTCATTAGGTGGTGGAGGTGAATCTTAAAGTTGAAGAACCGGGCAAAAATAATGTCCACAATAATGCATTCTATGCAGAAGAGACAGTTCTTAGGACAGAATCGCAAGCTATGCGTGATTGTAATCCTTCATCAGCACGACACTGGATAGTAAGAAAACATAAAACTGTTTTGTTCTTCTCATTGTATGTTGCTTTTTAAGGTTTTGATCTCTTTCAAATGTCTCTATATTGTGTGAAGTATTAACCAATAACCGCAGTGAAGAATTTGGTCTACTGAGTGATAGTTGTAAGATAAAAAGCTGAAGTTATTAAAAGTATGGTCTGATTTATTCGTGATTATGAATTCAAGAGGGAAATTATTTCATTTTCTTAGCTCTAAGAATCGGACATAAATTGCACATATTTAACACCTTATTTTTTGTTTGCAAACCATAATATTATAAATTAGATGAGACTTAGCCACCATCAGTGCTTGGATTTAACTTTTAGGCTATTGTGGGACTCTTGAAAGCAAATGAACTGAAATTCAGAGTGCTAAATTAATCATTTTAAAAAGATTTTCAACTCTTAAAATGCCTGGAGTTCTTTGTATATACTTTTTCATGCAAACCTGTAATTGTTAAGCTTGGCTTTTCAGATCTGTGATTTATGTAGTGCTTATCTTCCCTTTTCTTTCTCTTATGCGGCTTCATGATTTAACCCTTTATGATTCGTACTGATAAGAACCCTAATAGTATTCAAACCGGGCAATCTCCATGCTATTCTACTTGGTTTTTCTGATGTTTATAGCTGACCTGAAAGCCCATCGACCAAACAGTTTTATCAAAGAGAGAATGAATAGGGGAGAGAAAATGTAGTTTTGATGGCATGTAGAGGAGAGTGCTGGCTTGTATAACGAGTTAGCAGCGTAAGGGATGCCATGTATTGTGCGGTAGAAAATTGGATACCATCTACATTGCCTTCCTCAATTTTGTATGTATTCTATCTTGTTTTGCCCAATGTGCTGAAGTAAGCTCTAGAATATTAGAATGAAGTAAAGTTTGCATATGATGACACTGCAGTGTGTTGATCAATTGCACTGGGAACATCGGCTGTATTATCTTTCCTCTTACAATCTTCATCATTCTTTGTCACAATCTTTAGGTGTCACTGGTGTCAGAACCTCATATGAAGCAATACTTTTTTTTATATAGCTAATGTCATCCTGCCATAATTGTGTGAATCGTAATGTTAGATGGCATGTGCCCTTTTCTATTTTAGGTGAGGAACACAAGAACCGTCAATCGAACGGGACAATTTACAGGCTACAAACTCTTACCTGGTTCAAATTGCCTGCCATTAGCTGGCCCGGAGGCAAAATTTCTAAGAAGAGCTGCCTTTTTGAAGCACAATCTTTGGGTTACATCATATAGCCGTGATGAACTGTACCCTGGAGGAGAGTTTCCCAATCAAAATCCACGTGTAAATGAGGGATTGGCTACATGGGTTAAGAAGAATAGGTCACTTGAGGAAACGGATATCGTTCTCTGGTTGGCTTCTTTAACTCTTTTTAAAATACTATTGGTTAGCTTTTAATTTTACATAGCAATTGGAGGACCTATTCATGCAGAAGGATTTATTAGTGTTGCTATTGTTGATTTGTCATGCTCATTGTTACTGATGTGCAGTGGATAATTGTTGCTAAAACTATATAAAATTCTTTGTTTGCAGAAGCGTGCTTTATTTATCTTCTATTTCCGTATGTATTAGTTCATTTTTTTTTGTCCTTTTTTCACCTGGGAGTTGTTATTTGAAGGAGTTGCCTCTCACATTTAAATATTGCATCTTATATTACTGTTCCAATAAAACCACATGTGAAAATTGTTTTGGTTCAGTTTTTATGTTATTTTTTAGCTGTTATATTGCCTGTATAATGTTTTATGATCTAAATTCTTCAATAAATTTTATGCATTTTAAAGAAAAATAATATCTTGTTCCGTATATTTCCGTGGATATATGCTGTCATTCTGGCTCAAATGCCTCTATTATTTTACTTGAAATTTTTTTTTCTACTGCCTTTATAAGCTGAATGCAGTTTCTATTAGGAAAAGACCCTAACCTTTTTTTTGGCAGAAGAGTCAACCCAACACGAAGAGGATGAACCACAAGAACAAGCATCACAAGAGAGACTAAGATTTGCATGTTTAGGCTTTTGCAAGGCTACATCTATGTTGCATGGATAGATGGTGGTTCTTTCATGTCAGAGTACAAAATATTGCTTAACAGATTTTGCCTTCCAACTTAACTTAGTTTCCCATTCTTTTCACCTTGTTTTGTTCCCCAAGCAACCCTCCAAATGGCGGCTCAAGAATAAAAGAAAAGAAAAAATATATAATATCCTTCCTTTCTTTGTTCATGGACATCAGCCACATGAACCTTCTAGTTGCTTGAGCCTTTGGACACCAAATCAAGTTGCGTATTTATGAGCTAAGGGGATTCCTGAGAAGAAGCTATGCGTCATTCTGATCTCTTCACCGTGCTCTTTTGTATTTGCAAGCAGTCATCAGATGGAATAGTTGGTAGAAAATAATAACTTTGCTTAGTTTTGGGAGAGATTAGATAGAGATTTGATATGTGGTACTAGATTGACTTGTTAAAATATGTTTGCAAATGATTTTTAACTCTAAAAATTTGTAAGAGAAATTTATGATTTTGATGATGAGGACATATTTGTAATCACCTAATGTGGGCTCCGAAAATTCGGCCCCGGCCTCCCCTCTCGCTTTTGATTTATCCGGCGAGGGAGTTTTAACAGATAAGTTCCGAGGTAAATTTTGGATGGCAGATGGGTTTGTAGATAAGACACTACCCAGAGATTTCGCCCTCATTTTGTGAGGACTTTATGATCTGAGTTCTGGTTTCCTATAGGCGCAAGCCCCTATAGTTAATTACCTCTCCCGATCACGAGAGAGAACTTTTGATTAAGGCTAGTCGTCAATCAGATACGTAGAGTATACGTGTTAGCTGGTATATAGTAGCAGCGTGGATTTGGATTTGGGAATTTGGAAATAGTTTGGACGTTTAGAAAATTTGATATTTAAAATAGAAATTTCACCGTCTTTCACTTAAAGCGGATGGTGGGGGAATGAATGATGGACCCGATCAAGATCCCATGGTTCCGTGATCCCTGGCCATCATGGTCCCTGGTCTACTTAGTCAGAGGAGGCTGTCGACCCAACCTGACAGAAGGATCCTTGTCGACAGCCATGGGTTGCTTCGTCCAAGGGGACCTTATAGACCTGGGGTGAATGTTTGTTTAAGGGGATAAATTTGAATCCACCTTAGCTAACAGAGGGCTTTGTGCCCTATCAATCATATCCTATTGATTCATATCTCAAGGATTTGATGCCAATAAGGAACATAACGGCGATGGCCATAACCGGTATTTCGTGGTGCCATTTGACGGCAAAACCACTCGTTTCAGAGGGCCCCGAGTCATAACCGTTTATCCTGCGGTGCCATTTGGAGGCAAAACTGCCGGTTAGAGGACACGTACCACGTCCTTAATGACAGGAGATTGTTTGAGAATGGATCCTAGTGATATTTTCGACTAGGCATTTG